TAGATGGTCTTTAAGGTCCCTTCCAACCCAAACCATTCTATGAATACAAGAATAATCTATGATTTTTTTTTTTTTTCCCAAATAAAGGGCACTGACTGTCAGGCCTAATTTAGATTCTTTATATTGCTTTATCTATAGAAACCTTGCTACACTGCACTGAGCTTGTTGACATCTGGCTGGAAAGTCAGTATTGTGCTCGAGCATAGCAAGACAGCCATCATGTTTGTGTAGAAAATTATTAATACCCCCAATTATATACACCATGGAGGAAAAAATGGAAAGGCTAGCAATCTGACATTTCAAAACAATTTTAATGACTTTGCTGCAGTGATCACCTAATTAGGTTGTTTACATGCTTATTTGATGATTCAACTTACTGGATTAGCAGTTTGCTGGGAGTACAGGTAAGTGCTAAAGGTTCTACAACTTGACAAAAGACTACATTCTCATCAGTTAAGATGATTATTACTCTCCAAAGTAAAAATAGTTAGCAGAAATAAGGAAATTGAAAAAAATATTTTTTCTTTAAAATATAAGATGCAAGTCATCTTAAACATAATTTTGAAACCTAATGGGAGGTCTCTCTCTCTTGTTTACCTCTTGCATCCCACTTGCATCTTTCAGTGAAAAAGAATGAAAACTGGGAAGGAACACAGAGAAGGAGACCAAGACATTCAGCAATGGTATGCAACTCTGGGTCTGATGCAGAAAATAACCTCGTTACCCTTCTGTTCCTGAGCCCTGTTGACTCGTAGCTGCTGAGGCTGGGGAAAGAGCTCTCAAGAGCCGCAGAAGGAAGTGACCTTGATGTACACCAAGAGGTTAAAAGCAAGAACCCTGTCAAGTGACAAGCCAGTGACACACCAGCCACAACAAAGCCCCCAGAAAATGCCAAATTCAGTCACAGGTTCTTCATTAACAACGAGAAAGCATTTTCAGGAGGTTGCATGAGGCCATTGGAGAATGGCCCTTAAAAGTATGAGCAAATTCTAACAGGAGTCTCCAAGGACCATCAGAAAATCCTACTGGAAAAAAAATAGTTAAATCCCGCTGAAAAAATTTGTTTATTCCCATTTAAGTCATCTTATGTCACTTTCTTACATCTTGTGCATCCCTCACCTATTCTCCTGCAAGAAACAGAAGTGAGAAACCACCATCTCTGAGACAACAGTGGAAAGTAAGTCCAGTCAGGAGAAGCTCTTGTGTAATTGCTACCTTCAAATTAAGTGGTTTATTTCTTCTTGTTCATTTTGTCGTTTGCTTTCCCCATTTTCATGGTCCTGCCTATGGCAGGGGAAAATAAAACCTTGCACCCCCAGCTCTGGGCCACCCAGCAGTGAGTTACGTGGATGGAAGTAACAAGGAACGATGAAATGCAGAAATTTTCACTTCATACAGAGCAGGGACCAAAGTCTGATGCAGACAGAGCCCACCTCACTGGGAAGCATGAGACAGGATCCTGGCTCCCATGAGGAATAGTTAATAAAACCAGGGACGCTACTTCTACACTCACCTGGCTGCCTGTTTGCTTTCTGGAGAGCCAGCAGAATTACTGACCCAACGTGAGCTTGTGACACGTCCTACTCGTCACACACCAGTTATTTGTTCTTACACACGTGCTTTGCGGTCCCCGCTGACACCGAGAGCCCGGGACGTGTTTTCCATAGCTGGCTACACAAACCTGCGTGACTGGCTCCAACTGGCTCCAACCGTCGTTGGGTGTGGTTTCCTGGGCACCTCCCCAGCAAGCACCGGGCAAACAACACACCCAGCAGAAGGAAGCAACCATAATCGTCGCCATAGTAACTGCTGACAACATCCTATCCCAGGTGACCCAAATTATTACTGTTAAAAAGCTCTCAGTCCTCCAACAGCACGTGCCTATTTGAGATCTCGCTGTCAAACTGGAGGAGCTCTGGGTGAATAGGTAGGGAGTACCAGAGCTTGGAAGTGGAGCATCACTGCTATTAACCAAACAGAGAAAAATACCCCAGACTTCGACGTTTTATTTATAATACAAAAGCAGGCTGAGTGCTCCCATTCACCTTCATTTCCACTAGAAAAATCAGGTCTCAGTGGCGCTGTCTTTATAGGGTTCAGTATCGAGCTGGAATAAGCCCTTAGATACCGATAACAGTCTGTATAAATAAAATAAAAATGTATAAACTTGCTGTAGCTAAGGCTGTTTGTATCAATGTTGGGTACTGAACACGATGGGATTCTGCCATCCCAGCCAAAGAGCATGGACCTGGCCCCGGAAAGACTCACAAGGAAGCACACCCAGCCCTGAGGACAAGCCAGCCACCCCATCAGCCAACTTGGGGCACTGTGCTGAATGTCCTGATGGAACAGGTACTTGTCTACAGGCCTGTGCTGCCCTGAGCCCCTGGCACTGCAGGGACAGGAGGAACCGTTTGCTGGCAGCTCTCAGTCTGCATCTGTCTGCGGACAACACACTGGATATCCCTATGGCTGGAAACCGGTGAGGGTAAAAATATCCTGATACTTGCATTGCAAGGGTCTACACTTCTCTGAGACGGCAGATGCACTTGAAAAGGGGAAGAAGAAAAATAGGACAGCTCTGGCACAAGCAGGTTTAGTAGTAACAAGAACGGATTGTAGCGCCCTGCCTCCAAAAGACTCCTTTCTCTCCTCTGGCTCACAAATACAAGATGTTCCAGGGAGACTGCACAGCCCCACGAATCACTACCTAACACCCAGATCCACGCTATTTGCTTTCAGAAGAAGGGTAGTGGTGAAGACCAAATGTCAGAGGTGCCATCCAGTAGATGTCCTACATTGACCACAGCTCAACAATTTTCACATTTTACCAAAGGGTGCGTATTACAGAAGCATTTCTGCACCACGAGACAGAAGACCACCACAAGCCAGACCATCTCCAGTTTCATTAAGTCCAACCCCCCGGATGTCCTTAATTTTGAAGCTCTCTCTCTCTCTCCCACCTTCCCCTATTTTGAACTACAGCGCTTGCCTAGTCATTCATAATCACCACAAGCGAGGGCCATATCAACTTAAATCACAGTGACGTTTCCTAGCACAGAGATCTTAAACAAAAAGGGACCTGTAAAGTTACCTGTTCTACTGAACGGCTCTGATGGGGAAAGTCCACTGGGAGAATCGTCACTGTTGCTGATGGGCGCAGGCTCCAAGACATCGGGGTATTTCAACAGATCTGCTGGCTTACCAGCGGTTGAATCAGGAAAAAGCCTTGTGAAAGTCAAGTCTCGTTCGGGGGAGGTATAACGTTCTTTTCCAGAATGCGTAACAGCCGATGTGACAGTGCCTCCTGTTAACGTCACCTGCGTAAAGCAGTCCCGCTTCGGGGGGTACGTGTCCGAAAGAGTGAAACCATTCAAGGAAGAAGCAGCAGGATCGTACGTATCCAGCGAAGGTTTAGAGGTATTGCAGCTTGTGTTGTCCCAGCACGCCCGGTGTCTCATAAACCGAATGTCTGTCTGCGTACAGGCAGCGTTGGGTTGTGCAGAATCACTGTCACTGTCGTCACGGCTATCCCCAGTGCTGCTTTCTTCCCACAGTTCCACGTCACTGTCCAGATGCTCAGCTCCCTGCATTGCGTTCTGCTCCAGCACCAAAGAGGGCTTCAAACCAGATGCATTTAAAACAGACATGAGAATGTCTTTGATAGCTTCAGCACTGTCTGGGTATGATCCAAAGTTTCCAGCATGTCCAATCACTGCTGGCCTTGAGTATTCATCTGTTCAGGAAAGGGAAAAAACGAGGTTGGGAAATGACCCTAAAAAAGGTTGGCTTACAACACGAATAAAATACATGCTATTTTTTACACAGGTGAGAAGACCGGAAAGAACTGAAATCATGCACTACACTCTGCCGTCTCTTCCTGCAAGAAAGCTCTTGCTTTCTGAAGTCAGGAAGCAATTATCTCATTGGTAAGGCTAGGTAATAAACCAACAGTAAAGTATGCTGCTGCTAGCCAAGCACAATTAGTTAAGACTTTAATGGTGACTGAATGTCAGTGTGTTCGAAAACATCATTGTTCTACAAAACTGGCCAAGGTACAGTTACCGGTACAGGTCCTATTGCCAGTAAAAGAGAAGGTGACATTATAGCAAGACACAGAGAACATCAATACGTCAGGAAGAAAAAAAACGACACGCTTAGGAATAAAAGGTCACATGCTTGCGTGTTTTTCAGTCAGACACTCCTCCTCACGTGGAAAAGGCTAAAGTAACCTCCAGTCTATCATTCATCAGGGTGGCAACATTTACGTGAACCCATAAAGAAAATGAGCTCTGTCAGAGGGAGTTAATTATGCCGACGAAGGAATCTAAAGTTCTGCCTGCCAAGGTCCTACCTGATCTACTGCAAACCTGCAAGAAAATAGAAAACCTGCTTTTAATGGCAAACGTGGCAACATTAGTGTGATGTAGAAGTGCACATTGCAACTAATAGCTATTCAGGAATAAATTGAAACCCTGTACCTTGAACAATAAACCTCACAGGAACTGCCATCACCCAAGCAATGGAGAGATTAGACACAAGGTCTATGTTCAGGAAGAAACTATTGACCACCTCACAACAAAGTTAACAATCCTGTCCTTTAGGAAAGATAAGTCAGTTGTAAAATTCTAAGAATAGATACAATCAAGAAGATTCATTTCCAGGACAAAGACCCCTTAAGACCACAAGGAATGTTTAACACTACCCGTGAAAAAAGCAGCAAGTCTTGCAAACCTCAGACTTTGCCCCGAGGTTGCTCTCCTTGGACATACCTCAATGGAAAACAGTAAACCTCTCCACGAGTCACTGACCTGGAAGCCAGCATGCGCTCAAGCTGCATAATAATCAGAAATTTCACTAATAAAGGGATCAAAACCAAAACAAAAGAGAAAGCTTTCTCATTAAGAGAAAGCTGAAAATTATTCAGAACATCACGTATAAGTTGTACTGCAAGAGCTGCTAGCAATGCTGTCCTCACAAAGTCAGGTCAAAATGAGCTGAAGATTTATTAGTGATTGGTACCAACCACCTGTCACTGATCAGGATAAAGCTCTTGCAGAAACAGCAGCAAAACCACACATTTTACTGGCTCCACTTGCAAAGAAATACCTTGCTAATGTAGCCAGCCATGGCAGTTTAAGGGCAGGAATGGGAAAATTAAAGCTAGCAGACTTTGAAATAAGAGCATTTTGATCTTTTCAGGAAAAGAAAGCAGTTTTGGTAACGCTCAGAAGTTTCAATTGCATGGGAGTATCTTAACCTGGGCTGAAAACATCATCTTTTCTGTGCAAGACAAAACATTTAGTCTTACTGTCTTCAGCACTTCTGCTCTGCTCTCATATTGCGAAGCCCATCATAACTACCTTTCCATCCCCTCTCATCCTTTGCCATCTCCACTTCTCGAGCATCACAGAGGATCTCTAGCACTAATCATATAAGCATGCTGATTTACTTTACTAAATACTTGTTCTCAGTGGTTTTTTGAGAAAAAAAGAACAAGTCTTAAAAAATTAACTCATACTTCTGTGCTGCCAAGCCTAATAAAAATCCCAACTACCAGACCCCTACATTTTAAACTACTACCAGAAACAGGTTAGTTCAAATTAAAATGAACGAACAAGCAAAAACCCCAGGAAAAATCTCTAATTCAGTTTTGCAACTGATACTCATGTGAGTAATTATGGTAATCTGTGGTAATCTGTTAAAATCTGGGAAACTATTTCTTGGATGAAAAACTAGTTAACCTGCAAAGAATCATTTGAAGTGTGCAAGTTTAACTCTTGAGCACTCAAAATACCAGCATGACTACAATGGCCAAACTACCATTTGAAAGGGACAAGAACTTAAAAAAACATACTTTCAAATTATATAAACTTTGGTGTTGTCCCATCTCCAAAGCCAAAAAGTAATGCTTCCTTTCCAGACTGTACTTGTTTAGTCCATGCCAGCATCAACAGCTTTTGGTAGCACTACAAACACCAGCAAAGGTCCCCAGATGGATGCATTTTAGAACAAATCTGAGAACATACCTGAGAGAACAGAGATTTGAGGTGTTGGAGCAAGGCAGCTAATCCTCCCTGAGGGATTTGAAGAATACGCCGACTCGGTGAAAGCCACCTTCAGGCTTTCGTGGTGTAACTAGAACAAGAACACACAGGCAGACAATTTGGTTATAACACAACAGTACTGTGGTAATGATAACCCCAGTCTCACAGC